AAAGCATTCATGTTACCCTCTCCACCGGCGGCTGTATAGGAAGCCACTTAAATGGTCCACCATGCCCTGAAGAGTGGGATGCATTTAATTTCTCCATGTTTTTGCAGTCCTCATACCTCCCCCAATCCCAATGTTGAGACCTCAGGTACTGAGTGATGGCACCCCTGACTGAGTCCTGCAGCACACACAGCTCACCTGTGGTTGGCTCACTTGGAGTAGGCAATTGTCATCCTCACTTAGCTTAGGCCGCTCAGGGCTTCTAAAGGTAGAGCTGAGGGAACCATTAGAACTGATAGCAGCTCTTTGTTATCTATGTGGTAACATGTCTGATGCCCTGAGAGTGTCAGAATGAGCCCAGAGCCCAGTCCTGAGGTTCAGAGCAGCATGTCTGCTGGGCCAGGGTCCTGGGGGCTGTTTTCCTCCAGACCAATATGTGGCCAGGATCATGCTCATGTCTTCCTTGTCTGAAACATGACCATCACCCATTTCAGGGATTGACTGGGTGGGCACACAAAAGTGCTTAGCATGGCTCCTGGAACATGGTGTGTGTGTTTAAGTATATGTATGTGTGCATGTGTATATGTGTACATACATGTGTGTTATGGAGGCATGTGTGTATGTGGGCATAGGTGCACATGTATATCTCCTCCCCAAAGCCCCCTTGCTCCCCTGAGCAGTGGAGGGGAGAGAGGAGGGGAGGCTGAATCTGGCCTGACCAGCTCTGGTGCTTCCTTTGGCCTGGGAAAGGCAGCTGGGAGACCAGTCCTTAGCTGAGCAAGGCCATGGGCTGCATCCTTCAGCTTCCTGAATCAGATCGGATGTGGTCTTGGTTGTTCGACACCGGGCCCTCTCCCTGTCCCATGCTCCACTCCCTGACCCCTGGGCTCTTTTGTCTGGCCGAAGATTGTTTGGCTGCCCTTGCACAAATGTCCTGGGAAGATGAGATGATCATAGCTCAAGAGTCTCCACTGGAAGGACACACACCTTTCCTTTGGACAGGACTGTCAGGTCTTACCACCATCCTTTGCATGATTCATTGTCCCTTCTGTAATAAGAAAAATGGCACTAGGGAATGGCAGCAACTCGCCAAGTTCACACAACTCAGAGGTATCACCTTCTATGAGTTATAACTGACACACAATTAACTGCATGTATAAAGTGTATGATGCAATGTTTTGACATATGTATAAACCCTTGAAATCATCACCACAGCCTGTCACCCCTTAAAAGCTCTGTTGTAACCCCCACACCACATCACACCCACCCCTCCTTCTAGGCAACCCTAAGTCTGCAGTTTGACACCATAGATTAGTGTATGTTTTCTAAAATTCTATATAAATGCAAAAACAAGTATGTACTTTCTCTTTTGTCTGCCTTCTTTTACCCAGCATCATTATTTCTAGATTGATCCATGTTGTGGGGAAGTGTCCTTTCTTTCCTGAATATTCTGAAAAAGGTTTATGAAGAACTGACACCATTTCTTCCTTAAGTGTTTGATAGAATTCACCAGTGAAGCCATATAATCCTGGAGTCTTCTCTGTGTAAAAATATTTAAATATAAATATTTCTTGTGCTTGGTGTTCACTGAGCTTCTTAGGTCTGTGGATTTATAATTTCCATCAAACAGGGGAAAACTTTGGTTATTATTTCCTCAAATACTTTTCCTGCTCATTCCTTTTTTGGGATTTCAGTTACATATGGAGAAGCTGATCACACATATATTATGCTGCTTGAAGTTTCCCTACATCTCACTTATTCTCCCTCTCTCTCCCTTCCCGCTTCCTCCCTTCTTCCTGCCTTCTCTCCTGTCCCTCTATTTTGAATAACACCTATTATCTCTCCAAATTCACTATTTTTTCTTCTTCAATGTTTAATTTGCCATCAAGAACCCTTCTAGTGGGTCTTGATCTCACACTCTGTGGGTTCACCTCTAGAAGTTAAATGTGCATCTTGTGTATCCTCCACGTCTCTGCTGACCTGCTGAGCATGATATAATGCAGGCACCTCAGCTGCTCCAATGACCTTGTCTGCTAATTCTCACCTTGGGGCCCACTGTGGGTCAGTTTTTCTTCACTGACTTTCTCTCTTCACTGTGAGTTGTGTACTCCTGCCCTCTGTGTGCCTCATAACTTTTGGTTTGGGACTGGACACTCACTTTTAGGTGCTGGCTATGTTTGTGTTCCCATAATTTTCTTGAGTGCAGTTCAGAGAGGCAGTTAAGCTGCTTGTAAATAGACTGGCTTCCTGTTAAGATTCACCAGTATTTATTAGGTAGGACCTGAGCAGAGCTCACTGTGGGACTAATTGTCCCCTACAATGACACAAGACTCTTCCAAGTTGTCTAATGCTTTGTATCTTGGGGTTTTCAGTCAGGCTGGTGGGAAGAGACATATGCCCTACACTGTGTGAGCACCAAGTGATGTTCCTGCCAGCTTCCTGGGAAGTTCTTTCTCCAGCCTCATGGTTTCTGCACATCTGCGCTGAGCCTTCTTTGAGGGCTCTCTTCAGTTTTCCTTTCTCTCTGCCGCTCTCTCCAGTGCTCCATCCTGTGATCTCCAGCCATCTTGTCTTCCTAAACTCCCAGCTCCATCTCTGCACTCAGGCATCTGCCTGGGGTCCCCTTCTATAGGCAGCTGGGGTGACATAGGCTGTAGTGCACCAGCTACCACCTCTCAGGAGCATGGTGCTTCACTGCCTGGCGTAGGGTGTCTGTCAAGCTGTTGTTTCACATGTTTTATCCAGGCTTTGCTGGTTTCAGACAAGAAACTAAATGCTGTTTCTGTCATTGTACTTTGACTGGAAAGAGGAGACCCTGAGACGGGATTGGGCAGGCTCCACCTGGTGCCAGGTGCCTGCAGGTGCACATACTATGGCTGAGTGCCAGGCTTGCATTCCATCTGGCATATTTTTATTGCTGTGTTATGTCTGATTTCCAAGAATTTGAGTTTATCTCCTGTGCTATGAGAAGAATGCAGCAAAGCATGTGTTTTCTGTTTATAAATACTAATATTTCTCCTAGATTAGCTTGTTAGGAATGTGGCAATGGCCAATGATAAATGTGCACCCTGCACCGGTTTTGGTGTCTCTTAAAGAGAGGTCTGCTCAGAAGTAATGAGGCCACAGGAGAAGATGAAGGCAAGGAGGTTGTCGCAAGGGGTGGAGTTGGTTCTGGGCCGCTGAGGCTCATGCTTTACTTCCGAATGAGCTCTGCCCAGAGGCATTTATGCCATGTGAGCAGCCAAAGAGCACACTCTGGGACACCTGCCCAACTGTGTGTACGGGACCTGTATCCCCACTGAGGGTTCTTTACTTTTTAGCAAGTGAGGAGCAGAACGTGAAGAAGCTCCTGGCAGCACAGCCTAGTGAGAGGGTGTCAGCGAGGTGTTCAGGGTGTGGGCTGGGAGATACGTGGTGGTGTCCGTCAGCTCCCCTCATCCTGGGTGGGCTCTGCACCTAGGGGCACACTGCCTCCCAGGTGTGGACCTCATGTGGCCAGGGACAGACTCAGTTCTGGTCCAAGAGTGACATGCTGGGACCTAGAAGCTGCCCCACATCAGGGGACACTACCTCGGGTGCTCAGGGCCAGGGAGCCACATGCTCCAACTACCTGCAGGCCCCTGTGACCTGCCTGGGGTCTGCAGTGTTTTGTGATAGCATGGAGCTGCCTGCCTTCCCATCCTCTCCCTTTAGACCTGGGCCTGTCACCCTGGCCACTCCAGCACCAGTGGAGGTGGTTTTCATTCTCCTTTCTTATTGTTTTAGAACCTCCTGAACTGCTCTACTTCAAACCTTCTGGGCAAAAAAAAAAAAAAAAAAAAAAAAAAAAATTCAGCAAATTCTCCCAGCCCTGGACAGCCAATTTAGACCCTCAGAACTTGGCCAGCAGAAAGCCAGGCATCTACCCACCCTCCTCAGTACCTTTGCCAGGAGTCTGTGGGCATCTGGTAAGTGGCCTGACCCTTAAGTGACTGTTGCTCCTAGTTCCTGTCCTTCTGTGTAGCACTACTGAAGGTTTAAGAGGAAGATTTCAGGGAATGTCTATCTCGCTCTCTCTGTTTTTTGCTTTGTTTTGTTTGTTTTAAGATTTTATTTGTTTTTTTCCAGAGAGGGAAATGGAGGGAGAAGGAGAGAAACATCAATGTGTGGTTTCCTGTCGTGTGCCCCCGACCTAGGGACCTGGCCCACAACCCAAGCATGAGCCCTGACCAGGAACTAAACTGGCAATCCTTTGGTTCGCAGGCCGAAACTCAATCCACTGAACCATACCAGCCAGGGCAATCTCACTCTCGTCCAGTCCCATCCTTGACCCTCCTTGGTGGAACTTGCGCACATTCTCTATGCACCTAGAATGATGATTGAACTTGCCTCTCCTGAGAGAAGGCTTCCAAGCAGGGTATACTATTGGGGTGTGGAGTTGCCTGGGTCTCTAGAAAGTTCCTGGCAGTGGTGGTGAGTCAGGGTTTTGACAGAGATCCTGCCTCACCTCAGAGCCACATCATAGCATAAAAAGTGCTGTGGCAAAGCACATTGTAGACCTGATCCCCAGTGCTCACGATGATTATTGCTATTATTTTGTGCATCTGTTTTGAATTCCTTGAGCAGCAGGTAGCTTCATACTATAGGATTCCTTTCTTCCTCCCTTCTGTCCTCACTGTCTCCCTTCCTCCCTTCTCTCTCTTCCTCTCTTCTTCCTCTTCTTTTTATGTAGAAGAAATTTATTTTTAAAATATAATTCTTTCCATTTGTCATTGCCCCAAAGCCTGTTTAGATAGAACAAGCTGAAGCTGGTCAGCTGTACAGTGTGCACAAAGCCCAGCTCATCTCCTTCCTGGTGAGTTTCCAGGAGGTGCAACTAGACACTGCATTTGGGGGGCTGTACCAGGAGCTGGCCCACAACTCAGCTGGCATTGACTGTGCTCATTTCTCCCTGACAGGAAGCCCTCCCACTGCCCTGCACCCTGCGAGCCCCTCCATAGAACTCAGAGAGCTCAGCTTTGAGAATGGAGTCAGGAGAGGGGGCCTCAAGAGCCCCAGCCCCTGTTGCCACCCTGGGAAGGCCAGACACTGGGCCTAGCTGTTCCTCCCTGGAGCTGCCCAGCACAGACCCGGGGAAGCTCCAAGAACTTCCCATTGGGCCTGGAGCCCACTGTGAGGACTGTGCCACTAGGAGTCCTGGTGGCCAGGCTGCTGTGGGGGACAGCCCCCCAGACAACACTAAGATCCCTAACCGGGACAGTGGGATCGACAGCCCATCCTGCAGTGTTGCCAGTGAGCCCTTCCCCTGCGAGGAGGGCAGTGAGGCAGGCCTGGGCCCCACCATCCTGGGACCTCACCCAGAGGCGGCACCAGACAGCAAGACCCCCCAGAAGGAGGCTGACAGCGATGTGGGCAAGGACAGCAGCAAGGAGCCTAAACCAGAGAACAGCCCTCCAAGGGCCTATGTGGACCCAGCCAAGGTAGGCTGCCCTCCTGTTAAGGGTGGTGGGGTTCTTCCATGAAGGTATTACATTTACAGTGGCATCAACCACATTTGGTGCCAGTAGTGGGGTACCTGCTCAGACACCACATTCAGAGAGGCCCCTTCAATGGGTCAGTGGACAGGCCCTGGGGAAGAACCACACAGACAAGCTTCCCTGACACCTCAGATGAAAACCTCGCTCTTGAGCCTGGTTTCCATGGCTACACAGTGGTATAGGAACCCCACCCCAGGATAACCTAACCATCAGTCTTAGTGGGAACAGTGCTGTCACCAGCACCCTTTGCCCATGCTCTCTGGCCACCTTGCAGAACACCCATGAGGAAAACAGCATGAATGTCACCTGTTTTGTAAAGGGAGAGACCCCCAGAGTAGCCTACAGGGTGGGGTGGAAGTGGGAAGGGAGCCCATGCACGTGTGTGGAGCCCTGAGCAGATGGCCTGGGGAGCAGCTGTGTCCATAGGATGGGTTGGCTTTGAGAGAAAGCTCCTCTGCGTCCCTTTAGGATCTTGGGCTCTGTGCTCTATGCTGGTACTTGTGGGGACAGAAATAAATCAGATAGCCCTTGCCTTGGGGAGACCACCTGGGCATGGGAAAATGGCATGAATAAGCTGCAAGTGACTGTGTCCCAAGAGAAGCAAGGTGGTATCTGATGGGTTAGGCCTCCTGGCTCTTGGTGACCATGGTGCTGGCTCTTGTGGCAACACCAGGAAACAGGACTGGGAAGGCAAAGGGCAGCTGCAGGCCTGCACCCTTGAGAGCCAATTTTTCTGGAGGATGGACTGGGCTGTGTTTTAATCTGGGTTTATTATTATTTGAGTATGGTGAGGCCAGAAGATCAGGAGATGACAGCCACTGAAAAATAGTTTGTTACAGTTCCCAAGAAGAAGGGGCACAACACACCACAGAGGCCATGTGGGGAAGCATAAGGGTTGGTCAGGAGGCAGAGTCAGGGGAATTGAGGGCAAGAGACTTTATTGTAGTTTCTGAGGGAAGGAACAGGTGAGGCAGCTACCACATTCAGGACTGGCCAGCTTGACTAATTCCAGTAGGCTCTGGGCACAGGGCTCTCCCTGGACGTCTGGTACTGGTCCTTGGTGATCAGGGTCAGGGGATAGTGGGAATAGCAAATATGAAGTTGGGGTGTGGGTTAGGGATGGATTGGTTTGCATATGGAAAACAGGTTTGCAGGCAGATCTTCTATATCCATAGGAATTAGCTATCCCTGGGAGGGAAAGTCCCTCTGGGGTAAGCAAGGCCCCAAGATGTCAAAACATCATAAAATGAAAATAAATAAATGATGTATTTACTACTACCTGTGACTCTCAAGGTGCATTCCAGAGAGGCTGACTACCTCAGTCTCCCAGGTCCTGGGGGCAAGTGCAGACCCCGAAACTGGCCGCATCTTGCCCACACAGGCTCTGGGGTGCTCCTGGTACCTGAGAATTGCTGAGGAAGGCCCAAGCCTCTGTATTTGTGACACGACAATATCATTTTACATTGACACTGGTGGGAATGGGTCTATGCTTTCTGTAATGGGATTCTGGTTAGAATGCCATGTATCAGACACTGGCCCAATCTTCAGGGTAAGGCTCTGAACCCAGAGCCCAGGGACCCTTTGCTTCATGTTCCCTACCCAGGTAGAATAAAGGGGTGCTGACATGGGGAGATAATGCAGGTGTACACGCATGTCAAATTAGCCTTTAAAATGTGGAACTCATTTTCTTCTTCGAGTACTAATTTGTTGACTGTTCTTATCACAAAAGAATGTTAAATCTTACTGAATACGTTTTGTGTGTCATTTGAAATGCTCATGTGTTTTTTTTCCCTCATTCAATTAATGTGGTATATAACATTGATTGATTTTCATCTATGAAACAATTCTTGTAATCCAGAAAAAAAATTCCACTTGGTCATGATATATGAGGGGGAACCCCAAAAACCAGAAATTTATTTATAAAAAATTGTGTATTTTTTCATACCTGTTTAAACTTCAGTCGCCTTCAAAGTACTCTTTATTTGATGCAGTACACCTTTCGAGACCTTTTTCCACTGCTCAAAACAGTTTTTGAACTTCTCAATTTTGATACCTTTTAGTGCTTCTGCCATTTTTTGTTTCATATCTTGCACATCAGCAAAACATTTCCCTTTGAGGACTTTTCTCACCAGGGAAACAAAAGTTACTCAGGGTGAGACCAGGTGAACAGAGAGGGTGGGGCACAGAGGTCAAGCCATTTTTTATCAAAAATTGCTGAACACTCAGCATGGTATGGGCAGGTGTACCCACAAACCACCCATCGTGAAATGGGCAAATTTGTTGAGTCCTCAAAAAAATTCGCTGAAGCCGAACACAGCCTCTCACAACAGCACCAGCTGGTACACTGATACAGATGGGTTTCTAGAATACTCTCTTGGGTGGGGGGAAGCGTGTACTACAAGGGACCCACCCTCCAGAAGGTAATTCTGAGGGTTTTCTTGGTTCCCCCTTGAATGATCCTTTTAATAGGCTACTGAACTCAATTTGCTGATATTTTGTTGAGGATTTTTGCATCAATATTCATCAGCAATATTATCCTGCAGTTTTCTTTTCTTGTTATATCCTTGTCTGGTTTTGGTGCCAGGGTAGTTCTGGACTCATAGAATAAGCTTGGTAGTGTTCTATCCTCTTCATTTTTTTGGAAGCATATGAGAAAAATATTCTCTAGTATTATTAAATCTCTTGTGATGTGACCAGGGTTTTTTCCTCTTGGGAAATTTTTAATTGCTCATTCAATCTCCTTATTCATTATTGGTTTGTTCAGATTTTCTGCTTTTTACATTTTTTCAAATCATGTTTATTCTATTACAGTTGCCCCAATTTTTCCCCCTTTACCCTCCTTCACCCATCCCACCCCACCCCCACTCCCACAATTCCCTCACTGTTGTCCATGTCCATGAGTCATACATGTTCTTTGTCTAGTACCTTCCCCATATTTCCACTATTGTCCTTCTTCCCCATCCTTTCTGGTCACATTCAGTCTGCTCCATGTTTCCATGCCTGTGGTTTATTTTGTTTGTTAGTTTATTTTGTTGAATAGATTCCACTTAAAGGTGAGATCATATGATATTTCTCTTTCACTGACTTCTTATTTCACTTTATTCTCCAATTCCAGCGATGTTGTTGCAAAAGATAGGATTTCCTTTTTTCTTTCTCTTTTTTAAAGCAGATTTTATTTATTTATTTAAAGTGTCAAAATTTGTTATAAAATATTAAAAATTGTAAATCCATTAAAAAGTCTCAGCAATTAAAACGACATGACACCAGCACAGAAATAATCAAGTAGATCAATGAAATAAAATGAGCATTCTAGAAACAAATGTATATATCTGTCTAATAATGTAATATATGATTAAATTGATATTTCAAATCAGTGGAGAAAGTAAGGTTTATTCAACAAATAAAGTGAGTAGACTACTATTACTTGAAATAAAACAGATATAGAGCCCTATTTCACACATTATATAAAAAATATTCAGGTTAAAAATCAATATGTAAAATCTAAGGAGTTTTCAGAGAAAATACAAAATAATATTTTTCTTACCCTGAAGTAACATATTCAAACCCAGAAGCTATAAAGTAAACTATTGACAATATGGCTATATTAAACATTTAAGACTATACAGTAATATACATATTAAAAAAGTTAAAGGGCAAGTAATAGAATAGGAAAGTTTTTGCAACACATCTAGAAAAGGGTTAATAGTTGGTTTTTAGGGAAGAAATTCTACAAACATTTAGTCAAAAAATGGATAAAGAATACCCAAAAGTCATTTAAAGCTTTTTAAAAATAATAGAAAAAAGCAAGAAATGTACAAAAACAGGTTTAGTTTCAACAAATAATAACGTAACACTTAAAATAACACATCATTGTCACAATCAGATTAATAATATTAAAAATATTGGTCATATCAAGTATTGGTGACTGTGAAAGGAACTGGGTATTCATGGACATTTTTTCTTCATCTTCTCAAAGCAGTCCCTTTAGCATATCTTGCAATGCTGGTTTGGTGGAGGTGTATTCTTTTAGCCTTCTTTTGTCTGGGAAGCTCCTTATTTTGCCTTCCATTTTAATTGAGAGCCTTTCTGGGTAGAGCAGTCTTGGTTTCAGGCCTTTGCTTTTCATGACTTGGAATATTTCTTGCCTTTCCCTTCTGGCTTGTAGTGTTCCTGTTGAGAAGTCAGCTGCTAGCCATACCAGGGCTTCCTTGTATGTTACTACCTGTTTCTCCCTTGCTGCCCTTAGGAGTCTCTGTTTGTCTTTGCTATTTGCCATTTTAAGGATGATGTGTCTTGGAGTGGGCCTCATTGGATTCCTCTTGAATGGGACCCTCTGTGCTTCCTGGACTTGTGTGACTTTTTCTCTCCTCCAATTAGGGAAGTTTTCCATCATTTCTTTTTTGAACAGATTCTCCGTCCCTTCCTCCTCTTCTTCTCCTTCTGGTATCCCTATTATACAGATATTATTACGTTTCAGGTTGTCCTGCATTTCCCTAAATGCCTCTTCATTCTTTCTGAGTCTTTTTCCATTTTCTTGCTCTTTCTGTGAGCTTTTTTCTACCTTGTCCTCCAGCTCACTGATTCGATCCTCTGCTTCATCAAGCCTGCTTTTGATTCCTTCTACTGTGTTTTTGAATTCAGAAATTGTATTCTTCATTTCCTCTTGCCTTTTATTGATAGTTTCTATGTCCTTTTTCATGCTGATAAAGTTTACAGTAAGTTCCTCATAGTTTCCCTGTGGTTTTTTGCAATTCTCTCTGAGCTCTCTGAGCTCATTGAGCTTCCTTAGAACCACGGTTTTGAACTCTGTATCTGATTGTTTACATGCCTCTATTTCCTTTATTTCTCTTTCTGGGGATTCCTCCTTTCCCTTCGATTGGGGGGTGTTTCTTTGTCTTCCCATTATACGTGAGACTCTTCTTTTATGCTTCTGCTTCTTAAGT